TACTACATATCTTTTCCACAACGTGATATTGTGAACACATGTACACATGCTTGTGTGTATCAGCTTAATGAGATGATATGGTGTTAATTTGTATTTTTCCCATTGCTAATGGGATTAAGCAGACGCTCATGGATAGAGGCCATTCTGATTTTTTCTTCTGTGAATTGCTTCTTTTTTTTTTTCCCCTCTTTTTTTTTTTAATTTATCAGCTTAAAGGAGTTCTTTATGTATTCTAATCCTTTGTTAGTTATCTGGAGTGTAAGTATCTTCCCCAATCTGTATCTTATCTCTTGGTGCTGTCTTTGTTGAATGGTAGATTTTAATTTTAACCTTGGCAAGTTTATCAGTCATTAAGATTTTTGCTTTTTATTTTAACTCTTCTATATACTAAGGTAATATTTTTTCATATCTTTATGATATGAAAAAAATTATACTTTTACTTTCACATTTACATTTTTAATCTAACTCTAACTTATTTTTGTACGGTTAGTTCTGTAACATAGCATGTGTTCCTAAAAATCACCATGTTATATGCAAAATCATGCAATAAAAAACACCAAGCATATGGGGGAAATGGGGTTGGGACACAGAACTCAAAAAATTTTTGTCAGTGACACGTTAAAAAACATTTAAAAATGGTAGCACGGTTTTATATATGTTAGATGGTTAAGAAATACATAACTACCACAGTAAATAAGGCATTTTTATTTTGAAAAGGATGAAGTTGACTTGTGGAAGTAGGACTTAAAGGGTTGCAGCTTGAGTTATTGTGAAGTGGTGGAAGGAAGTTTTCTTAAATCTGCCAAGAAGTTGTAACAGCAGATGTGGAGAGTGTGGCTCATAACATATGGAAAGATGTTTGAAGTGTTTTGGGTGCCCGGCTGGCTCAGTCAGTTAAATGATTCTTGATTTTGGTTTAGGTCATGATTTCTTGATCATGAGATTGAGCCCTACATGGGGCTCTGTCCTGAGAATAGAGCCTGCTTAAGATTCTCTCTCTCCCTCTCCCTTTGCCCTGCCCTTAAAAAAAAAAAAAAAAAGTTTGAAGTGTGTTTTGTGCCTTCCCATGTGGCTCAGTACAGCTAGGTAGTTTTCTGCATTCACCTTATGTTTGTTTCAGAGTTAAGACTGCAGTAAAGCAGTCTAGGCACTTGGGGGCAGGATTTAAGGAGGCACTTCCTTATTAGGGTTTCTAGGCCTCTCTCACCTTGCAATAGCCCTGGCCTTGCTTAGGGTTTAAAGTAGTGCTTAAGCATATACTAAAATTTGTGCTACTGTTCCCTACCATATCAATCCTTTAACATATTCAGGTTTTCAAAGCAAGCATAAGAGTAGAACTGGCTGTATTTGTGAGGCAGAGCTCGAATTCTTTTCCCCATATACTTAGCCAAATCATTCTCCACTACTTCATAATGATGCTCTTGACACGTCTCATAGTTCTCCATATACTTGCATCCAATTCTTGTTTCTTTGTGCTGTTTCCTTTGATCTTTTTGCTTCTCTCTATGCCAGTATCACATTTTTTTAATCATAGGTCTAGCACTAACTTACTTTGTAAACCTTGGTCAAGTTATTTCTGTGTGCCTATGAAATTATACTAGTACCCACATTATTAAGGAGTTAAAGGAGTAAGTGAACCAGTATATTAGAGTGCTTACAAATAGCACCTGGCCTGAGAGTAAAGCTCAAATGTTAGTTATTTTGTTATTAAAAGCAATTTCTTTACCTTAATAAGCAGTCTTGGTATTTAGTAGGCTGATACGGTCATCTTATTTCTCCTTTTCCACACTGTTTGAAAGGAAATGGGAAAGGCTTGTGGGAGGATTCCCTGGGAAAGTGACATATAGTTTTTCTGAAAGATGATAGGAATGAAATAGATGTTGGGAGCAGTAGGAAAATAGTCTAGGCAGATGGAGCCATAAGGCAGAAATGGAGTGTTTAGTAACTGAAAGAAGATTATTGTAGTTAGATCTCAACACAATGAAAAATATTACCAGTTGAGACTAGACAGGCAAGAATAGATAGATCATGCAAGACAATGTTAAGGATTTTAGACTTCATCTTAAAATCATAGTTATAACTGTTTAGAAACATTGTTATTTCATGACTCTTACTCTTTCTTAGAGATTTAAGAGTAAAAGTCATGAAATATCTTTATGAATAGTTCTAGCTATTTAAAAAAGAAAACAACAACAAACCTTGGAAGCTAAAATTGGTCCCGTCTGGATCCTAATAGCATACCAAGGATTAGGAGTACTGTTGAGAATGTGTCAGTCAGGTCTTTGTTCACTTACTTGTAATCTTTGAGAACTGTTGATTCTGTTGTAGGCTCTTATCAATTAAAATTGAGGAATCTTACATTTTGGCAGATCCACAGATTAGTGGTACAGTTTTTATAGTACAAGTCTATGTAAATGTCTTGAAATAATTTTTTTATTTAGTTGTTACTTCATTTGATATTGTTATCTTCCTTGAGCACACCTAAGAAGTCTACATATTATTTCTGTAATACATGTTTCTGGTTTTTCCTATATTTCCCTCATATTTCATTATTACAGGATTCTACAAATATGATATAGGTTGCCTATGAAAGAAATATGATGGCCTTTTCAGTTGAAGGCAGATAACTATCCATCAGATGTGAGAATCTCCTCTCATCATAGTATCATTATAAAGAAAGTAGTCACTTCAAGATCTAGGAAAGAGAGTTGAACTAGAAATCTTATAGCAACAGATGAATAGTACTCATAACAGTAAAGGATTTATTAAATACTTTGGGAGATAAAATCCCATCTTTTAGAAATATATTTTAAGTAAATATAAATATAAATTTGATAGTATTTCCCAAATAGTTTTAATGTAAGTTTTATAAATCACATTGTTGTTTATAGTATTAATAATCTATAAATTAGATTAATAAATAAATGAAGTAAATAAATAATAAGTAAAATCTTTTAAAAATAAAAATAAAATTCACTTGGAAGAACAAATGGCCAAGAATAGTTAAGACAGTCTGTAACAACAGCAAGCTAGGGGAACGTGCCCTAAAAAAAAAAAAAACATTATTAAAGTAATAAAGATACTATGAAATTAGCACAATGATTAAAAAAAAATAGATGGAACAGGAAAAAGGCCACATTAGTATGACCTTAATTTGCAAAGAAAGCAAATGAAATGTGTGAATATCTTAAGTCACAGAAGGGTGTCTAAAAAACTTTCAGTGGCTGATACATAATTAAGTATAATTTTCTTTATTATTTAACATATAAAGTTATTGCTGGTTTAATCTCTTTATTTTAGAATTAGGATTTCCTTAAGACTTAGTCTCTGAACTTTTTTTCTTCAGAAGTTTCAAACTCTACAGTTTTGGGGGCTTTCTGTTACATAATCCTGATATAGTAGGTTTGGAATACTGGTATATAGATAATTCTGCAATACTTATGTTAAGGGAATTAAACTGCTGATGACTATTCCCTAGGAATTGTGGGATTTTGTTAGGTTGGTGCCTTTGCTTCAGACATTTTCAGATATAACTATTTAAACTGTATAACTGTAGGATTTCATTCCTGTACTTAGTGTTGTGTGTAGTAAGCACAGATACATTCGAATGATCTCCAAAAAAACTTGGTTACCTATGTTAGTACACATGTGGGCTTTAAACATCTTGTTAACCTTTACTTTTGATTTTGTTTGTGATTGAACCTGGTTGAATGTGGGGAAAATGTTTCTGGAAAAGAATTTTTTAAAAAAAGATTTTATTAATTTATTCATGAGAGACACAGAGAGAGGCAGAGACACAGGCAGAGGGAGGAGCAGGCTCCCTAAAGAAGCCTAATGTGGGACTCAATCCTGGATCCCAGGATCACGCCCTGAGCTGAAAGCAGACGCTCAATTGCTGAGCCACCCAGGCATCCCAACTGTAAAAGAATCTAAAATAATTGAGTGTGTAGCAAAGCAGTATTTCATAGTGGGTATAAATATAGTCAGAATAAATTTGTCACATTTTTTAGGCTTATGATTTTTTTAATGCTTTCTTTGCTAGAGCACCATTATTTTACTTTTTCTGTCACTTGTCGTCTGATGAGTTTTAGTAATGCTTACAGTGCCTGATGTACCGCGTTTTTGAAACCAATTAAAAAAAAAAAAAAAAACCCACCTCTCCTCCTTGCCCCAGCAGATTTTATGAGAAATAGATGAAGGCAGTATTGTTACTAACTTTTGTTGGTAAAGAAGCTAATTTAAAAGTTTTTAAAATTTATTATGATTATTATGATCAATCTTGCGAGCCTTTAATAATCCACTTTACTTATCTTCAAAAAGATAAAGTAAAATATATAAAATTAATATACTGTCTTTGTAAGTTTTTTGCAAAGGAACCGTTTTCATATTTCCTTATATTTTACCATGTATTTTAAAATTTGTTTTGATTGATTCTTAGGATTACCATTTGAATTTTTGTTCAGTTGTCAAATGTTTTATTGACTAGCTATTGCATTTTTTAAAGAGGTGCTGTTAAGGATTTTTAAAAAAATGTATATAACGTTCTCAAATAGTATATATTTATAGAACATTTGAAATAACAGTTTTTATAAGTGAAATATTTTTTTCCTGAAACTAAGTCACATTACAGTTATTTTCAATAATCCTTTGAAGTAGACATGTATTTTAATATAAAATGAAATATAGGAGTAGCCCGGGGGGCTCAGCGGTTTAGCACCACCTTCAGCCCAGGGTCTGATCCTGGAGACCTGGGATCGAGTACCACATCTGGCTTCCTACATGGAGCCTGCTTCTCCCTCTGCCTGTGTCTCTGCCCCCCCCCCCCTCTCTCTCTCTCTCTCTCTCTCCCTCCCTCCCTCCCTCCCCCCCATGAATAAATAAAATCTTTAAAAAATAAATAAAATGAAGTATCAAAGATAACTTCTCTGTTGTTCCTATAGTTAGAGGTATTTTCCATTACTGATTTTTTTCTTTTTCTTTTTCTTTTTTTTTTTTTTTAGGTACCTAGTCGATAGTCGCTGGTTTAAACAGTGGAAAAAATATGTTGGCTTTGACAGTTGGGACAAATACCAGATGGGAGATCAAAATGTATATCCTGGACCCATTGATAACTCTGGACTTCTCAAAGGTCATTATTTACTTTCTTCGGTCAGGTTGTAAATGTGTTCATTTGAGTATGTTATAGTCAGTATATGTACTATGGAAAATGTTAACATAAACAAATTGATAAATTAGAAAAATTTCTTTGTATTATATATTTGACCTAATGTACTCAGATTATTCTATCATAATTAGTTATTACTCTGTAGCATGACAGACTTTTTCATTTATTATGTAAGAATGGTTAATTATTATTTAAACCTTTAAGTGAAAAATGTAAGAAAGTACTATCTTATAATTTGGGGGAGATGCTGTATTGTTATTATTTTTCCCAATTGACACATGACTTTGTTTTTTTAAGTTTGGGAGCACTGATACATGTTTACATTCTTGAATTTTTGCATCAGTCTTCTACAGCCCTCACTGACCAGTCTTCTATACCTCTCATTACATTTGAAGAGAATAAAACCTAAGAACCAGAACTTCCATTTCTGGCCAAGATAGAGTAACAGGGACTCGATTTATTCTTCTACCTGAGCAAACTAAGACCTTGACAGAATATATATAAAATAATGGTTCTCAAAACATTGGATACCAGGCAACAAAGAACAGTGATCCTTGAGAGATAGGAAACAGATGAGGTAAGCTGTATGATTGCCTCAGCTTGGTGTATTGAAAAGAGTGTTCAAGGCAAGGCGCAGAAAAGGAAACCTGTGTAAACCCTGGCAGTCTCCCTTAGTTGAAGAAAGAGTTTGGAGTCCAGGGAGACCCGGGCCACCAGAGTTTTCAGGAGAGAATACCAGATAGGAATGACCAGCAAAAGACAGGAGACACAAAAACCTAGAGATATACAGAGGGTCTAAAAATATTTTAAGTAGAAAAAATAATGAACAAGTGAAACAAATACAAAACAAGATGATAGATTTAAGTTTTTCTTTATGAATAATCACGTTAAATACTCCCAATTAGCTTGAATTTAAAAATAAGACATAACTGTGTCTTAACTCTGTTGTAACTTCCTACAAGAAAGTCCACCTTTTAATATAAAGATACACATGGATTATAAGAAATTGAAAAAGGTATGCCATATTATGGTAAGCAGAATTCTAAGACTGACTCTCAGTGACTTGTATGTAATCATCTCCCCCTTAGAAAACTGGTATAGCCTGTGAATAGGATGAGATATCATTCCCATGATAATTTATGTTGTATAACAAAAGGGAGGTTATCCCAGTGGTTTTAATCTAATCTAAAAGCAGACTGTTTTTCTGGCTGTTGGCAGAAGTCAGAGATTTAAAGCATGAGAAATACTCAGTGTATCATTACTGGTCTGAAAATGGAAGAAGCCATGTGAGAAGAAAGGCAGGTGTCCTCTAGGATCAGAGACAGACATGGCCCACAGCCTGTAAGGAAACAGACCACCTCAAACCTGGCACCGTGAAGAACTGAATTCTGCCAACAATCCAAATGGACTTGGAAGCAGATTCTTCCCCAGAGTCTTTAGATAGGAGATCAGCCCATCTGACATCTTGATTTCTGCCTTATGAGCCTTAAAGTGGAGGATCCAGTTGAGCCCACCTGAACTTGTAGCCCACAAAATTGTGAGATGGAAAATAAGTATTGTTTTCGGGGTGCCTGGGTAGTGCAGTTTGTAAAGCATCCAGCTCTTGGTTTTCGGCTCAGGTTGTGAGATCAAGCCCTACATTGGGCTCCATGCTCAGCACAGAGTCTGCTTAAGACACTCTTCTTCTGCGCCGCCACACCTCTCTTTCAAAATAAATCAATCTTTTTTTAAAAAAAGTATTGTTTTCAGCTACTATATTAGTTTTTTATGCAGCAAATAGAAAAGTAGTACATGTGCTTAACACTGATCAAAAGAAAGCTGGAGTGGCAGTGTTAATATATAATTATATAATATGTGAATATATAGATAAAGAAAATGAGAGTCTCAAATCAGTGACATTGGTTTTTAAGAAACCAAAAAAAAAAAATTAAATGTAAACTAAAGAAGAAAAATAAATTCAGAAGAGAAATTAAAGAAAGGAGAGAAATAAAGAAAATTAATAAAACTAAAAGCTGGTTCTTTTCAAAATGAATGTGATATGTATCAACTATTAAAAAAACGGATTCTTTGTGAAAATAACAAAATTGATCCATATTTAGTTTGATCAGAATAAAAAGAAGAAAGACACAATTGCCAATATCAGGAATACAAGATAGGTAATAAGAGTACATTCAGAATCCACAAATATTAAATGAACAATAAAGAAATATCATGAACTTTATGCCATTAAATTCAATAAACTAGATGAAAAATATGAAAACTACCAAAGCACATTCCAAAAGAATAGATTGCCCGAATTATAGAAATGGTTTCCAAGTAGTGCCACTGGTGAGTTCAACCAAATATTTAAGGGAGAAATACTTATTTTATACAACTCTTCCAGAAAATTAGGAGATAATACTTCCCAACTCATGCTATGAAACCCTCATTACCTTGATACCAAAATCTTACAGTCATTTCAAGAAAACTAGACCAATACCTTGTCTAAACAGAAGTTTAATAAATCAAGTCAGTTGTGACCTGCAGTCATGACATATCATATAAATGTCATGTAGAGATATATATTTAAAAGGTAACATATCATGTAAGATAAAAGAGTAAAATAGGAAGAAACGTCCTCATCCTCAAAATGGGCATATGAAAAACCTACAGGTGACATGAAAAAGGCAAGAGTGTCCACTCCTCTCTTCAGCCAACATTATTGGAATTGCTCTACCCAGTGCAGTAAAGCAAGAAGAGATAAAAAGCATACAGATTGTATAGGAAGAAGTAATCAATTTGCTTTTATTCACAGGCAGCTATGTCCATGTAGAAAATTTAATTGAATCTACTCCCCCACCCCCACCCCCTCCCGCCATAAAAAAAGCTCCTAGAGGCACCTGGGGCTTAGTTAAGTATCTGCCTTTGGCTCAGGTCATGATCTCAGGGTCCTGGATCAAACCCCAAGTCAGGCTCTCTGCTAAATGGTGAGTCTGCTTCTCCCTCTCCTTCTGCCCCTCCCCGCTGCTTGTGTGCTCTCACACTCACATAAATAAATAAGATGTTTTTGTAAAAAAAAGCTTCTAAAGACTAATAAATGTTTCTGGAATATAAGATCACTGTTTTGAAACCCAGTTGTATCTTTATATGCTAACAAAGCACTAACATGAATAGACATTTTAAGAATACATTTTATAGTAACATCAAAAAATATAAAATATGAGTAAATCTGACAAAATATATGCAAGACCTGTACACTGAGAACTAGAAGACATTGCAGATAGAAATTAAAACCTAAATAGAGAATAAATGTTGGTCAAAGACTCAATATTGTCAAATTTCTCCCCTCAAACTATAGATTCAACACAATTCCAAATCACATTTCTAGCAGGCATCTAAAAAATTGAGAGAGAAAAAAACTTGAAATTGAATTTACCTATCATAGAATTCATCCTTTTAAATTGTAAAATTCAGTGGTTTTAGTATATTCACAAAGTTGTACAACCGTCACCACCATCTAATTCCACAATATTTTAATCACTCTCCTTTCCCTCTAAAAATTCCCAACCCTCAGCAACCACTAATCTACCTTGTCTTTGGGTTTACCTATTTTGGACATTTCATCTAAATAGATCATAGTATGTAGCCTTTAATATTTTCACTTAACACAGAGTTTTAAAGTGTCATCTGTGTAACATGAATCAATATTTCATTGCTTTTTATGGATGAATAATTTTCCATTCTGTGGATATACCACATTTAATTAATCCATCAACTGAGAGATCTTTTAGTTGTTTTCAATTTCTGGCTAATGAATTGCATATACTTAGATGTGCAATTACTAGATTAGATAGTAACTCTGTATTTTAACTATTTAAGGAATTGTGAGACTGTATTCCAAAATAGTTGCACTATTTTACATTTTCACCAGCAATATATGAAGGTTCCAGTTTCTCCGTATCCTTGCCAGCACCATTGTCTGTCCTTTTATTATAGTCATCCTACTGGATATGGTGTGGTATCTCATTATTTTGATTTGTATCTCCCTAATGATTAATGATGCGAAGTATTTTATCTGTGCTGGTTATGTACGGTTTTTTTGGAGAAATGTCTATTCTGATCCTGTTGCTTTTTAATTGGATTGTCTTTTTGTTCTTATGTTTTAAGTGTTTATATATTCTGGAATATATATCAGGTATATGATTTCCAAAAATTGTCTCCCATTCTGTAGATTGTCTTTTACTTTCTTTCTTTTTTTTTTTTTTTATTTATGATAGTCACAGAGAGAGAGAGAGAGAGAGGCAGAGACACAGGCAGAGGGAGAAGCAGGCTCCATGCACCGGGAGCCTGATGTGGGATTCAATCCCGGGTCTCCAGGATCGTGCCCTGGGCCAAAGGCAGGCGCCAAACCGCTGTGCCACCCAGGGATCCCTACTTTCTTTTTTTTTTTTTTAAAGAATTATTTATTTATTTATGATAGACACAGTGAGAGAGAGAGAGAGAGAGAGAGAGGCAGAGTGTGTCACAGGCAGAGGGAGAAGCAGGCTCCATGCCGGGAGCCCGACGTGGGACTCAATCCCGGACTCCAGGATCGCGCCCGGGGCCAAAGGCAGGCGCTAAACTGCTGAGCCACCCAGGGATCCCCTGTCTTTTACTTTCTTGATGGTATCTTTGAAGTATAGAAGTTTTTATTTTTATTTTATATTTTTTTAAGATTTTATTTATTTATTCATGAGAGAGAGAGAGAGAGAGAGGCCAAGACACAGGCAGAGGGAGAAGCAGGCCCCATGCAGTCCTCCCTGACGTGGGACTCGATCCTGGGTCTCTAGGATCACCCCCTGGGCTGAAGGCGGCACTAAACTGCTGGGCCACCAGGGCTGCCCTGGAGTATAGAAGTTTCTAATTCTGAGTCCAGTTTATATTTTTTCTCTGGTTACTTGGGGCTGTGGTGTCAGAATGCATCACCTAATCCAGGGTCATACAAGACTTACATCTATGCTTGCTTCTAAGAGTTTTATAGGGGGCAGCCCCGATGGCTCAGCGGTTTAGCGCCGCCTTTGGCCCAGGGTGTGATCCTGGAGACCCGGGATCGAGTCCCACATCAGGCTCCCTGCATGGAGCCTGCTTCCCCCTCTGCCTATGTATCTACCTCTCTGTGTGTGTGTCTTTCATGAATAAATAAATTTTAGAAATCTTTAAAAAAATAAGAGTTTTATAGTTCTAGCTGTTACATTTATGACTTTGATCAGTTTTAATACTTGTATGTAGTGTGTGAGGTAAGGACCAATTGAACATATTAGAGAATCTAAAAGGACATCCACTCAGTAGAGAGAGGATAGTCTTTTAAACAAATGCTGCTTGAGCATTAGGTATCTGCTTGGAAAAACAAAACCCCAAAACTGAATTTTGATCCATATCTGGCATTGTATATGAAATAAACTCAAAACAGATCATATAAACTATAAAACAGGAAAAAAAAAGAGAAAATCTTTGTGACATTGTGTTATGGAGGTGTCTTAAATGTGATACAAAAAGCATAGTTGATGAAATAAGGAACTTTATGCCATTAATTGTGTTTGATCAGGGATAAAAGCTTCTTCATATGATACTGTTAAAAAAAATGAAAAGACAAACCACAATGTAGGGGAAATATTTGCAGTTCACTTAGTTGATGAAAAACTTATATTCAGAGTAAAGAATTCTCAAAACTTTATGAAGATAACATGAAAACCTAGTGGGAAATGTAGGCAAAAGAGTTGAAAGAAAATGGAGGGACGCCTGGGTGTCTCAGCGGTTGAGCATCTGCCTTCGGCTCAGGGTGATCCCTGGGTCCCTGCGGGGAGACTGCTTCTCCCTCTGCCTCTGTCTCTGCCCCTCTTTCTTTCTCATGAATAAATATATAACATCTTTTAAAAAAACAACAAAATAGTTTTCAAAAACTACAAAGATACTCAACAATATTAGTCATTAGAGAAATGAGGCTTAAAACCACACTGAAGTACTATTATATGTGTATCAGAATTATTAAAATTTAAATGAATGACCAATAGTGTTGACAAGGATGTGAAACAAATGGTACTTTTATATACTGTTTTTGGAAATGAAATAGGGAATTTTAAAAAAAGCTAAATACACGTTTACTACAGAAACCAGTTATTCCACTCCTACATATTTACCCAAAGGAAATGAGAGCATTATCCATATGTGAATACTGATATGTGAATGTTCATAGCAGTGTTATTTGTAATAGAGAAAATTGGAAGCAACTCCAAATGCCCATCAGTAGCTGAATGGATAAGAAAATTATAGTATATTCATCTGATGAAGTCCTACCCAGCAATTGAAAGGAATGAAGTATTGGTTGGTACGTAAAAACAAAGATGACTCTCAAGATGATTATGTGGTGTAAAGGAAGCCAAACAAAAACAGTACATCTAATTTTTATAAAAGATTCAAGAAAATGGGGCACCTGTGTGGCTCAGTGTTTGAGCATCTGTCTTTGGATCAGGTCATGATCCTGGGGTCCTAGTATTGAGAACTGCATCAGGCTCCCCACAGGGAGCCTACTTCTCCCTCTGCCTATGTCTCTACCTCTTTCTCTTTCTCATAAATAAATAAATAAAATCTTTTAAAAAATCAAGAAAATGCCTGTAGTAACAAAACAGACTTAATTTTCATATAAAATTCTACAAAATGCACATTAGTCTATAGTTGCAAAATAGAGATAAGTAATTTTCTGGGGACAGGGCAGTACACTTGGAGAGACAGTAAGGAGAGATTACAAAGGACTAATAGGACTACTTTGAGGGAGATGAATATATTCATCATTTTGGTTGTGATGGTTTCATATTTGCTTTGCTGTGTCTTACCTAATAGTTCACTTTAAATATGTGCATTTTATTGTATATTAACTATATATCAATATATCAGAAATAACAAATACCAGCTCTTTTGTGTTTAGCTTAGGGGTATTCTCCTCCCTTAAAAATAAATTCATTGTTTTATTTTGTCCATTAGATACATCAGATACAAAATTACTGTTGGATTCTGATACATAAATCATTTACTCACACTCTTGATTTGTGGAAAACAGCATAAAAGTCTTAATTTTTAAACTTTTCGTTCTTTTCCTAAGTTTTCTTCAAGGCAGTCTGTTAATAGTAAAAGAAAATGGATATATTAGAGTAAACCAGTTTGTGTTTGAATCCAGTTTCTATAGTCTTCTGTATGTGTAACCTTCGGCAAGCTAATCAATATCTGAACCTGTTCACTGATTAATTTGGAGATATCAACCACCTAATATTGTTTTGAAAAGTTACCTGAGAGGGGATCCCTGGGTGGCGCAGCGGTTTGGCGCCTGCCTTTGGCCCAGGGCGTGATCCTGGAGACCTGGGATCGAATTCCACATCGGGCTCCCGGTGCATAGAGCCTGCTTCTCCCTCTGCCTATGTCTCTGCCTCCCTCTCTCTCTCTCTCTATGTGACTATCATAAAAAATAAAAATAAAAAATAAAAAAAAGAAAAAAGTTATCTGAGAGAGCAGTGTTTTCTAGTAACACTTTTCATAGTACCTGCAATTTTCTGTATGATCTTGGGCAAGTTACTCAGTTTCCCTGAAAATATTTTCAAATACAAAATGGAGATACCTATCTAATAGGATTGATTGCTTGGAGAACTGACTGAGATAATGTGGTTGTCTACTGTAATATGTCTCATGCATATAAAGGTTTAGAATATGTAAGCTTCTTTCATCTTTAGCAGGTTCTGAAAATATGTTCCAAATTATTAGTTTCCCCAGCAAGAATTAAAAATTACAACTGGGTCTAAAAAACTGAGCTTAAAAAATTAATGCTTAATTTGCATCTACTATTAAAGTCTGTATTATACAACTTAAAGTTTTATAACTTCTGCTCTATAGGACGATTTTTCTCAAAGTTTAGTGTAATTCTGTGCCCATAGATTGATCCTAGATGGAATAAATAACTTTCTCTCCATCTTTTCAGAATTTTTCCAATTTCTAGATTTATGTTGTTACATCGAGTTAAGAATAGTGTGTTCTCATTATGGAGATGCTACTGAGAACAATTTTGCTTCCAATGTTTTTTCATTTAAGACTGGCTCAATCTACTTTATGGTGTATATAACTCAATGAACTGTATCTGTTTCTGTATTTTGAAAAGTCAGGTAAAAGGACCAGATAATAATAAGTAAGTCTCAGATTAGGACTGTCATGTGTAACTCATGGTATTGCTTCTAGAGCTCTGGCCTGTCCTGTACTAAATTTTTAGTTTAACCAGAAATTTGATAATGATCATAGAATTAGCACTACATTTGAACAACTATTTCCGCTTGAGATTTTGGGGGAGGAATCTAGATCGTGGGCCTTCTGGCGTAATGATTTTTTTCATAAGATGCCCTTTTGTGGTTTCCAGCCCATATGCTTCAGGGTCATTAAAAGGTTATCTTTTGCTTCTGAATTTCCTTCATCAACTAATACTAGAATGACCAGTGTTACCATGTGGAGGATCTCCTACTTAAAACATTTGGGAAATTTTCTTTCAGATCCCTTGGCATTTTTTTAAAGGTCACCTTAGTATTTTTTTAAAAAGCTTTATAAAAAGTTATGTCTTTAAATACTGTTCATTGACTACTGGTGCACATTGTATCTTTTTAAAGTAACAGTTTATTTTGAAATATGTAGATTTATATGTGAATTTCAGAACTTTCTTCAGAATTCATTTAAATACTTAAATTAGTCTCTGTGAGTTTAAATAATTTATGATGTTTATACTAAAGTATTTAGATATATGTACTATTGTTTCTTTTTATTTATTGAGTTTACTTTTTTCTTTTGCAGATGGTGATGCCCAGTCACTTAAGGAACATCTTATTGATGAATTGGATTATATACTATTGCCAACTGAGGGCTGGAATAAACTTGTCAGCTGGTACACATTGATGGAAGGTCAGGAACCAATAGCACGAAAGGTACATATTTAGAATAAGTGAATAAAATCATTTTTTTAAATAGTTCACATATTATTGTTAATGACTCATGAAGCCTCATCAATCGTCTAGGAGAAAAAGATCAAAATGTTACTTTTTGTAACACTGTATAATAATAATAATAACAGCTAACACCTGTAGAGGATTAACTATTTGCTAACCACTGTTATAAATATCAAATTATTAAGTTAATAATTTAATCCTCATAGGAAGCTCTATAAGGTAAATATTATTAGCTTCATTTTATAGATGAGAAATGAGGACAGAGGTTGAGAAGCTCAGGGTCTTTTAGAAAGTCACATCAAGTTAGAAACTTGGGAATCTGTTTTCTTAACCACTGTGCTAGAAGTTTTACAATTATAGTCTAGAAACATTAAAGATGGCCCATTATCTTTACTTTTTGGAACTAAAAAGTCCATTATGAAAGTGAAGATGTCATTGTAGCAGAATACCAAATGTTTAAAGTAGATTTGCCAGTCTTACATGATAAGTATTTGTTAGTGTATCAGGCAGGGAAGGGGAAAGAAGGTAGAGTTTGGAGACCAGAATCTCTGAGCATATAATTATTTATCTGTGTTGGTTTTTTCTGCACAGAAATGATTAAAAAGCCAAAGTATGTAACACAAGGGTATAAACCTCTAGTAGACCAAACCATGCATGGATTTATTTATAACTGGCTGCAGAGTAGCTGTATTAAGAATTTGTATGTATATATTGATGGTTTAGTTATAGAATTTAAATCTTGTTTCTAAATAGAATGTGAATGTACCTTTGATTTGGTTCAGTTTAGTTTTGTTCCTTAACCTCACTCAGCCTTCTCTTGTAACCATTCAAAATTAGGATTTTTGTCATTATGAATGCTAGCCTTATACATATAAAATGACTTATTGTTATATCTGTAGTTGCTAGAGAATTGACTGTTTTGATCAATTGAAGGATAGATTGTTTAGCTCTAAAACTGCTTAGCAGAAGTTTTTTCCTGGAATAAAGAAAAATCTGTGCCTGGAATATTTTCAGATATGCTAAACTGTATTACTTTAACCTTAATAATAAACTTTTTTATTTTCTCTTAATAGAAGATAGCATATTATACCGTACAAGTATTTGTTATGGCAAACAGACAACAACTTTGTTGGCATTACTTTTTGAAAGAACACATAGTAGGATTTCTTAAAATCTGTATCTAATAGCAAATTGAAGTTAAATAAATTAAAATCAGGGATGCCTGGATGGCTTAGTGGTTGAACATCTGCCTTTGGCTCAAGTCGTGATCTCGGGGTCCTGGGATCGAATCCTGAATCAGGCTCCCTACAGGAAGCCTGCTTCTCCCTCTGCTTATGTCTCTGCCTCCCTCTGTGTGTTTTTAAATAAGTAAGTAAATAAATAAATAAATCTTAAAAAAAAAATTAAAATACATAAAAAATAAAAATCATGAAAACGTCACACTAGTAGAAAGAAAAAAAGTTTCTCTATTAGGAAGCCATATATTTATTTTTAATAAGATAGTCTGAATTTATTCAACCTGTAAGATAATATTTAAATGTTAGTATGCATAAAATTATCTGGAGTTTTGTGTCTTCCTTCAAAATTAGTAAGTCTGGAAATTTCCACCTTTACTTTGCCCCATGTGACAATGAAATTTACTTAAAAGAATAACTGTTATTTTAGGGTCTGAAGCCCAACTTTGAATTTTACTAATGTCTGATTGAATTGAGGAATCTAAGACTGGTGGATACAAAAACAAAGTTAACCATCTCTTTGGACCTCAAATCATCTCTCAAATATTTTGTTTATAGAGTCAGGAACTCAGTTAAAACAACGACAGAATAGGCAAAAATGAACAAGAAATACAGTGGAACCAAAATCCAAGTTAGAAACAATAGACAGTAGATAGAGACTCATAAAGAATCCAGATAATGGAGTTATCAGATAGAAACTTTAAAATACTGTGCTAATTATGTTTTAAAAAATAAGGTAGTTGAAAGACAAAACTATTAAGATCTAAATGTGATTCTATACTTCTAAAATATATTTTATATATATTTTATATATATATAATATAAAAAGATTAAGAAGTAAATGCTCAGTATTTGAATAGAACACTAAGTAGAACCAGAGAAAACTTGTAAACTAAATAACATCAGTTGAAAAATATACAGACTAAAGCTTAGAGAGACTGTGGGATGGAGTATACAGAAATAAGCAAAGAAAATCGGAGCACAGTGCATAAATTTAATATACATAGAAGTGGGCTCTTAGGGGGAATCCCTGGGTGGCTCAGCGGTTTAGCGCCTGCCTTCAGCCCAGGGCGTGATCCTGGAGTCCCGGGATCGAGTCCCACGTCGAGCTCCCTGCATGGAGCCTGCTTCTTCCTCTGCCTGTGTCTCTGCCTCTCTCTCTCCTCTGTCTTTCATGAATAAATAAATAAAATCTTAAAAAAAAAAAAAAGAAGTGGGCTCTTAGAGAAGGAAAGAATAGGGTAGAAGTAACATTGAAAATAATAGCTGAAAATTTTCTAAAACTGATGAAGGTGACATGCTCTATATATGTAGAGTCAAGAAATGCCGTGAAACCCATGCTAAAAAATCTATGAAACAAAACCATCCCATTAAAACTGTTCAAAAGCAAAGGCAAAAAAATTCCTAATAGTAGCCAGAAAAAGGAAAGTCTGTTATTTTCAAAGTAAGAATAAACAATGATTTCTCAAGAGAAATGAAAGCTTAAAAAGTAACAGTCTTCAACATGATGAAAGAAAATAACTGCCAACTTAGATTTCTGTAACAAAGCAAAGGACTCTTCAGAAAAGGATCTTTCAGGTGGTGAAAACTATTTTCAAGTAAACAACTTGATTGAATTTGTTAGTAGCAGACCTGCACTAAAGGAAATAGAAAACAGTCTTCAGAATGGAAGGGAGATTATTCCATGTGGAAGCTTGGAGACAAAGGAAAAACTGTAGATTGACAACAGTAAATATTGTGAATAAGTCTTAAGGCAGACTGTTTAAAATGCTGGTGATTTCTTACTGGGATGAATATATGCATATATTTTAAATATATAATACTTGCATATATATTGAAATAGTACCCTCTTACTTTACCTCTGATGTTCTCCTCTTTATATCCATGTGCTTGGGTAGTCTCCTGTGGCTACTAACCTATAGCAGAAGTTACAGTAGATATATCACTTTCAAGATTAGATTTTAGAGTCAAGGGGGAGTCAAAAGGTACAAATTTCCAGTTATAAAATAGGCGAGTTATGGATATATAATATATAGCATGGTGACTGTAGTTAATAATACTGTAGATCTTAAATGTTCTCATCACAAGAAAAAAAATTTGTAATAGGATGATGGATATTAACTAAACTTATTGGGATCATTTCACAACATAGACAAATACTAAATCATGTTTTACACCTGAAACTAATATATATGTCAGTTTTGCCTCATTAAAATAAAAAAGATCAGATTATAAAAGACACCTTGGGTACACACTCCCACTTGCTCTCATTTCTCAGTCTGGGAATTCAACTGCATACTCAGGAACCCTGTGGTGGGGCTCATGGTAAGGAACTGAGATCTCTGACCAGTAGAGATAATGGAGGCCTGCTAACAGCCATGGGAATGAGCTTGGAAATGAATCCTCCAGTCTCATTCTGCTTTCGGATAATTGAAGCCCCAGCCCACAGCTTGACAGCAATCTTTCAAGAGATCTCAAGCCAGAACAACCCAGCTAAGCTGCTCCAGATTCTTGACCCTTAGAAACTATGTGAAATAACATTTACTCTCTTAAGTTGCTGAGTTTTGGGGTGATTTATTATGCAGCAGTAGAAAACTGATAACTAATTTTGGTACCTGGAAATAGTGTGCAAAACTTGAATTGTGGTGGTGGCTTTAGAACCAGGCAGGAGGTAGAAGTTGTAAAAACCTGTAAGAGTTTTTAATGAAAGCCAAAGGTGCCTTGAATAAATGGTTAGTAGAATTGTAGACTTTGAGGAGGCTGCCAGTGAGGACTTACAGGAAAGTGAGGAAAATCTTTTTGGAACCCAGGACAAAGTGATCTTTATTATAAGGTAGCAGAAAGTTTTGCAACATGTCAACTGCATGAATTGAAAGGTAAATAATATATCCAGTGAGCTGAATGATCTGCCAAAACTGCCTGATTTTTCTTGTGCTGCGTATAGTCAGATGTAAGAAGGGAGAAAGAAACTAAAGAAAAGGCTCTTAAAAAGGAGCTAATACTTACTAGTCTTTAAGGATTTCTGTCCTCTCCAGATCACAAACAATGCTGAAACTATATATTCCCAAATAAGATGAAACTCAAGGCACTCTCAGGAAAGCATGATCTAAGGTTAAATTAGCCAAGGGTACGACTGTAAAATTCTTTTTAAGACCTCAGAAAAATCAAAAGTGGTGCCTCACAATCCTGTTCAGACAAAAGGCCCTTTAAAAAATTTCAGGGTATACTTCATACTTCCTCTCAGCATGTGACTTCTAAGAACAGTAGGGCTTCTAACAAGCTTAAGGGCATTGCCCTTCAGTCTTCTCAGCATAAACCAGGATAGGACATATCTAGAGGACATTAGTGGATGTGACTTTTTGTCTAATGGAATTAGACTGCAATTAGATCCACTGGAGACCTATGATGTTTTCAAGAACCACATCTTCTTGGACTGCAGGGACAGTGTAAAATCAGAGGTCTCCTGGAGTCAGACTTAGAATTTACTCATCTGTAAACACATGCTAACTTTCATGGAAATAGTAGGACTCAGGAAGCAGAATCAAGTGGTGAAGAGTCATTTTCAGGTAAGGGCAGAATAAGCCCTAATGAAGGTTAAATATTTGCCCAGGTAGATTTCAGAATTTCTGTAGACCATTGACTCCTTTGTTCCTCTTTCCTCCTTGCCCCTTTTAACAGGAGTATCTAAAAAATTATCTTCTGCGTGCCCCACCAATGTTATTTTGGGTGTGTGTGGTGCAGAAAACTCATCTTGTAGTTCACAGAATTATAGAGAACTTTACTCAAGGTGTTTAAGCTATACCCAAGGATCCTTATCTGCACCTGGATCAGATATAAATGACAAGTTTCTGAACTTGGAGGGGTGATACTACTGGGGAGCTTTGCAGGTAGTGAATGTATTTTTTGCATGTTGTGGGGAGGGACTGTGACTTACTGGGAGCCAGAGAGTGGACTGTGGTAGCCACCCTCATAATGCTCCCCAGCGATACATCTCCTGGTATTCATACTCTTGTGTAATCTCTCACATTGTACTGGAGTTAGTCTTGACCAGCAAAATATGGCAGAAGTAATAATATGTTACTCCTGGGATTAGTTTCTAAAAGATGGGGAGTGCTTTTTTGTGCTCTCTTGTGCGCATGCACTCACTCTCTCCCTCTTCTGCCAGTCACTCTGAGTGAAGCCATATTGCCATGTAGGTATCCTATAGAGGCACTCAAATAATGAGGAACTAAATCTCCACCAACAGCTGGAGAGAATCTGAGGACTGCCAACAACCACATGATTGATCTTGGAAGCAGATTTATACAACATGATTAAGCAGCACAACCTAATTGACATGTGTTGCACTTAGTATATGCAGAATACAAATTCTTCTTAAGTGGAATTATTACCAAAATTGACCTTTTGCTGTACCATCAGGCAAATCCCAATAGATTTCTTTTTATCCCCCCAATATATTTCTAATGATAGAAACTATTCAGTGTATTTTCTGCCTCAGTGGAATTTAGAAGTCAGTAGCAAAAAAGTAACTAGACTGTCTCCTAACTCTCTAGAAACAGAACAATATATTTCTAAAGTAATCCTTAGGTCAAAGAAGAAATACAAAGTAAAATTAAACATTTTAAACTCAATGATAATAACAATACAACATAAAAGAATGATTAAAAGCATTCTTACAAGGAATGGGATAGCTTAGATGCATATATTAGAAAAGAAGAAAGTCAAAATCTATTGTCTCAAGAAGTTAAGAGAAGAAAAGGAAATTAAGCCTAATCAAGAAATAATAATAATAAATAGACATTCGTAAAATAGGAGTAAAAACTATATTAAATGTACAAAGTTGACTCCTAAAGACCGTGAAAGTAGACCAGTAAAACAACTTCTGGGAAGACTGATCAAAAATAAAATAATGCCTGGGGTCGGGGGTGGTCACCAAATTTTTTCTGTAAAGGGCCATATAGTAGTCTCTGTGGAAGGTATTAATCTCTGCTGTTTTGGGTATATCCATAAACGATATATAAATGAATGGGCATGACTATGTTCTAGTAAAATATTATTTACAAAAATAGATGACAAGTCACATGTAGCCCGTGGGTCATAGCTTGCCCATCCTGATCTCGGCCCTGGTTAATGCCTGCCAACATCAAAAAAAGAGGGGCAGCTAGATATTATTGCATCTTATTGCAGTCAATTGCAGTGTATGGGCTTTATTTGTATCTTAATAAAAATAAGACTGGTTCAATTAGAATATTGACTGGATATTTGATATGAAGGGATTAGTTTTATTTTTTTTAGATGTGATATAGAATTATGGTTTTGAGTCCTTGTTTTTGAAGAAATATATCCTGAAATATTTGTGAATGGAATTTTTACATGTAGAATTTGTAAAGTATTAACACCTATGATTTTGAACTTGTTATCTTTCTCTACTTGTTGATTTTTATCACTAGTAAGCATAAAAAGTATATCAGGTTTATCAATATATTTCATGGCTTTCTACAAAGTGCTCTCTAATTTCATGGCAAAATAAACAAAAGTTATATTTATTTTAATTCAATATGAATTTGTATTTCCCCTCACTAATTTAGTAGAGACTGTACCTTCATTGTGGCCATCAGTTAATGGAAATATTTTTATCTAGTCATAAGTTTTATTTTTTTTAATATTTATTCATAAGAGATACAGAGAGAGAGGGGCAGAGACATAGGTAGAGAGAGAAGCAGGGTCCTCGAGGGGAGCCTGATGTGGGACTCAATCTCGGGATTACACTCTGAGCTGAGGGCAGACACTCCAACACTGACCCACCCAGGTGTCCTCTAGCCATAAGTTTTAAATTTTGGACAGGAAGCCAGATTTCATCTTTTTTTTTAAATTTTTTTATTTATTTATGATAGTCACAGAGAGAGAGAGAGAGAGAGAGGCAGAGACATAGGCAGAGGGAGAAGCAGGCTCCATGCACCGGGAGCCCGATGTGGGATTCAATCCCGGGTCTCCAGGATCGCGCCCTGGGCCAAAGGCAGGCGCCAAACCGCTGCGCCACCCAGGGATCCCGCCAGGTTTCATCTTAATGCTTGCTCTTTGTTCATAATAGTATAACATTATAATTTACTTAGAAAAAATATTTTGGTGGTCCCCTCTAATTCTGAAACATAACTATTATTTCTGAATATTCATGTTCCAGTCTTATTTCAAATGTGTATTTTAATTGTCATAGTAATTAGGTAAATATAACTTGTACATTGTTTTTTATAAGCCTGTTTCTTTCTGTTCATTTACAGTCTTCATAACCAGTATTTTAAATGGTCATTTTTAGTGAATTTTAAATAAGGTAGTAGATTTTATATAAACAAATATAAAGATGTTATATAAATAAATAATTCTATAATAGTAATAACACTAATACATAAATACACTATTTTTTTCTGCTTAGCTACTTAGTTTTAATTTTTCATATAGTGTGGTTCTTCAAATAAAAATAGTTGGGAGGACAGGAGATAAAAAAAAAAATAGTTGGGAGGACAAACTCATATTTTCTCTAAAAGAACAACTTTTTGGGACGCCTGGGTGGCTCAGTGGTTGAGCGTCTGCCTTCGGCTCCGGGCATAATCCCGGGTCTGGGGATCGAGTCCCACACTGGACTCTGCTTGAGGAACCTGGTTCTTCCTCTGCCTGTGTCTCTGCTCTCTCTCTCTCTGTGTCTCTCATGAATAAATAAATAAAATCTTAAAAAAAATAATAGCTTCTTAATACACTACTTTTGGAAGTAGTAAAGTATCTGATAATAGTGGTATCTGAGTACTGATGATGAGAGTTTTAACAATATAAGATATTGTTGGTGGGAAGAAAAATAATGGTTAGAAAAATCCTGAAACTCAAAGTGGATTTTGAAATAATCTTGGTGTTTTGTTTTCATTATTTACAGTGACTTTCTAACAGTTAAATCACCAGATTCTTTACAAGAGTCTATCGAGGTTATGAATATTAATCTTCATTTTTTATTTTTTTTAAGATTTTATTTATTTATTCATAGACGCAGAGAGAGAGGCAGAGACACAGGCAGAGGGAGAGGGAGACGCAGGCTCCATGCAGGGAGCCCGATGTGGGACTCGATCCTGGGTCTCCAGGATCACACCCCAGGCTGCAGGCGGCGCCAAACTGCTGCGCCACCGGGGCTGCCCTAATCTTCATTTTTAAAAAACTATGCTTAGTTTAGAAAAATATATCTTAATATAAATCATAATGAGAGATTTTCTTTTTTGTTATTTTATCCTGTTTTGTTATGCCATTACCTGCTCTTTTGTTGATCATTTTCCCCATAAAAACAATGAGGCCTCTAGGCACCTCAGTTTTAGCAACCTATTAATGATTAGTACTAATATTGTTTTAGGATTGTTAGTCAGATATTGAGTCCCAGAGCAAAAATTTCTGATAGGAATATATTTCTAGTTTTTCTACTTAAATATAACTACATATAATCCTATAAAATTAAATGATATGTTATCTTTTGCTACATTCTTAATCTCAAAATGAAGCATAAGAGATTTAAAACAAATTTCATTAGTTAGAAGACTATATATTAGTTTGTAAGATTAATGAAGAGCTGGAGAGGTATAGGCTGTTACCTCTTTTAGAAATTTGAATGTAACAAGTATAATTAAGAAAATATAAATTACAAAGTATTATAAAAATTAGTGTTGGATTGGACATTAAATATTAGCTAAACTACATTTGAATTTTTTGAACTAAAACAATTTCCCTGCAAATGAAAGACAAATCTGTAGGTCCATTACTGAATTGATGCTAAGCTTGTGAGTTACAGCAGGCATTTGGAGCCTCCCTTTAGCCATATTAGTCTAATGTATCACATATCAGACTGATTACTATTTTCAGAAACAGTATTCATGACTGAAATCCTACAGTTAACTTTTAGAAGATCAAAAGGAAATATACTTACTTAAAAGGTGACCCTAATATATACATATTTTCTCTTTTTTCCGCTTTGTTGCTTGCATGTTTAGCAGCTTTTTTTTTTTTTTTTCCATTTGCTGCATAGAATTACTAAGAGTGATTTAAAGGTCAAACAAAGTCATCTTAGGATGGAAAACTAACGTATCAGTTACAGGCCATAGCTGAATAATTTGGCAGCAGTAATTTGGAGTTATTTTAAAAGGTTTATTTTAACATATAGAGTGATTTAACATATAGAGTTAGCTGTTGCTAACTGAAATTTTATAAAATTTATAATTTTTAAAGGTTTCCTGCTTGAAATCAAGTAAAAGCTTAAAGTAGGTCTGGATCATTAATGAGAGGTGTATTTACAGTGGGGGTAAACTTTCTCACTATTAATACTGAATGTATTCATTATTTATAGTATGCTGTATCTTCATAGATGAGTTGAATGCCTTTCCAAACTATCTGTTAATCTTTCATATGATTATTCATATTCTGCTAAATATGCCAAATATATTTCTGGCTTTTTCGAGTATCTAGTATCTCATATTTTATTTTGACAGTTTTTAATAGTTACTTTTCTTTGGAGATCTGCAGTTTTTTTCTAAAGCCTCTTTAGAGAAATATATTGTTATTAGAGACAGTGAAATACGAGCTATAGCTAACACTGATTTGTTTTGGTTTTTAGGTGGTTGAACAGGGTATGTTTGTAAAGCACTGCAAAGTAGAAGTATATCTCACAGAATTGAAGCTCTGTGAAAATGGAAACATGAATAATGTTGTAACTCGAAGATTTAGTAAAGCTGACACAATAGGTAATGCAAGATCCTGTCTCTTTGTTAAACCATTGCTATTAGAAATTTAGTTGTAATTTTATTTTTTATATGTTACTAGGATGATAACCTTTTTAAGGGTTTGTACTTCAACATTACAGATTTCCATGAATATAAAGTAGAACTGTAAGTAAAAAATAAAAAGTTGATGAAATTAAGACTTTTTCAGGTAATGTAATATAGATATCCCTAATGGTAGGAATAATAATGTTTCCCATTCTTAGCATGGAAAATGACAAACTTTTTTTTTTTTGCTTATTCTCTGGACTCTAAATGCAAATTAAGTAGCTACTTAGATAAGGCAGTAGACTTATTAGCATTTTTTATGACAAATTGATTTTTTTTTCTTTTTTAACAGTGAGTAGATTAGGAAATTACCATCCCAAATAGAAATGTATCCAACCCCCTCTGTATATTTATTTATCTGCATATACTTATATATTTATGTATCTATACATATAAGTATTTATTGAAATATATGTATTTTTATTGTATTTAAAAGCCAGATTTTAGTTTAAGATCAAGAATATGTTGAATGAGATTTTTAAAAATAAGTTATTATGGGTTTAATAACAAAATTGCAGTACCTTTTGATAAATCACAGCTCAAAATAAGAATTACCAAATGTACATATTTTCAAATAAAGTTTTTGGGAAACAAGATTATTGGTTAAGAACATTGATGTTGGAAAATGTAAACAGACAGTGGAGACATAGCAGTTAATGTAGAACTTCTCAGCAAGAAAAAGATTAACAAATTTATATATAACTTTATTTGCTGAAACCAATCATTAGGTATACTTTGGTTAAAAGTAAAAAAATACTTAATTTTGACTTTCACCACTTACCCATTTCACAGCAGAAGATCCTTATAAACCAGTATTTTTCATGAAATAACACCATTCTTTGATACCCAGTGCTTGGTTAATCCTAAATGTTTTACCAAATAGAATATTCTGTAGGAATTTTCTGTTTTCCCCCTCTTTTCCTAGAATATTTGTTAAGTTTGCAATGCAGTTTAGTAAACTTATCTTTCTAAAATAAATGCTTAAAATATTAGTAATTCCATGTATAAATATCATTGTATTAACATGTATAATTGCTTAACTTTTTAATTTCTAGATATGTGGAACATATTCAGGAAAATAAAACATTTCTATATACTAAAAACTGCAAGTTTTCAATATGTATAAAACCATTAATCATGATATTAAAGTATGCACAATAAGAATCACCTGTCTAACAAAGGTGGTCTATCAAAATTAAATCAAAAACTAATCTGAAATTTTGAGCAAATTATAATATAAATGAGAAGCTACTTAAAATACTTCTTACAGATCACATTTTCTAGTTATTTTAAAAGTTACATATTTCCTTTTCTCCTTAGCTCATTTCTATAGAAAAATTATAAATGTGAGACAATCAGAAATCTTATTTTAGAAGAGTAGTTCACTGAATAATTATTTTAACTCCTTATTTGAAAATCAGCTTGTTTAATTTCTGAATTCAGTACCAGCATTATAGAGTTCTAGCATTAAGTAGTAAGAATTTGTCAAGGAAATAGGTGGTTTATAAAGAATCTCTGCTTCAAAAACTGTATAATTTGCATAGATTTTAATCAACATAGTTTAAATTTACTAATACTTTAACAGCTACATACATTGAATATATACCTTAAAGTTGTGAATGAACTGAATTTTTGCACAGCTAAAGTTTTTTTTTTTTAACTGAATTAGAGCCATGTTTGTTAAGACTGGGTGGTCATTACATATTTTGAGAGTAAAAAGAATAAAATGGAAAATATCAGTAGAAAATAGCAACACGTGTATATTGGTCAGGGTTTCTTACTGTAGGTCTTAGTTTTTAAAAGTCTGTATTAGAGCAAATTTGCTCTTAGTTTAAGCAAAAGATTTTGCAGAAATCAAACTGGGAATTTTAGACACCTCATGATTATAGTTATAGTAGTTAACAGTTATGGAATACTTACTGTGTTTTTGACACTTCTCAGGAAGTTTGTAATTTAAACCTCAACAATACTGTGTCTTCATTGGATAAGTGATGAAGTCGAGGCTTAGGAAAGTTAAATAACTTAGGTTCACCCTTGCTCCTAAGTGAAAGAGTCAATGTTTGAACTCCACACAGTCTCATCTCTTAGTTGCCACCTTAGACAATCTGCACAAACTTTAAATGGGCTGATTTTGTTTTTCTAAAGGAAGTGAGTGTTGAAATAATAAAAAATTGGGGTAATGAGAAAGGAAACATGGGATGCATATTTTCCTCTGTGGTCTCATCTTGATTAAAAATGATTCAAATACTTAACGTGCATAAAACATAGCTAAATGTTATATAAATAGAATTAAGAAATAGAAGTACCTGTTTTCTCCAAATTAATAAAATGTCTCATTTTCAGCTAATGCTACACTGACTTATAAGATAGTTGTCATAGGAAGGAGCCAAATAATTTACCTCATTCAGAGCCAAAATATCTTGCCTTTGAGTATTTTTCTCCTTAAATTTACATATTTGGGTATAGAACATGTTCCAATAAGGAATACAAAATTTGGTTTTTATTTTTTCTTTAGGGATATACTGAAAAAATAATTTTTATTATAAAAGTTATTGAACAGTGCTTTATGTTTATGTAAAATTTATTAATAGAATTGTTTAACTTATTGAATGTTCTTACTGGAAGTGCTTGTCACAACAATTATTTTTATTATATGAATTAATATTTTTCTACCTCCGTAAGCTTTTCGTTAACTGCTTGAGAGAGTCAGATTCACATATGGAAAAATATACACACACTCTCAGTACTTTGACTTTCTCAACTCTGGCGATCTTTATCTGTCTCCAGCTTCAGTCATCAGTTATCTAGCTATACCCTACACTGCTGTTATCTGTAACTGCACTTGGTGGATCTCAATTTGAACATCCTGCTTTCTGGCTACCACTTACCTCCCATTCTCATTTGACTCTGCTACATCAGACATTCAGACCTACCACTCCCTTGGCACTGCTTCTATGATGGTCTCTGACTACTTCTACATTGATAAATCTAATGGTAATTTCAGGCTTCCATTTTCTTAACCTGCCAGCAAAAATTAACATATTTATTCACTTTTCCATCTAGAAATAAATTATTTTTACATGGCTTCCATGGTACAGATTTTCACTGCCTGCATTTTCTCAGAGAATCTGAAAACATCCTCTTCATATTCCTGATCTCAAAACATCAGGGTGTTGCCATGCTTAGTCCTTGAATTTCCTCTTTTCTCTGGTGATTTCCTTCCATGTCCTAGCTTTTTAAATACTTTCTGCATATTGATATCTTTTGAATTTATATCTCTTGCGCAGAACTCTAAATTCCAGCTTCAGTCTTTCTGTAGCTTTACTTCTGTCTGATAGGAATCTCAAGATATAACATGTATGAAACTAAAGTCCTCCCCCTCCATACACACAAATCTGCTACCTATTATTCTTCCCCGTCTGAGTAATTGCCACTTGTATTCCTCCAATGGCTCAGACTAAAAACCTTGATATCATTCAGATTTTCTTTTGTTTCTCACCTTGCATGTAATCTAGCAGCATATCTTACAAGCATTCCCTTCAGAATCTGTTCTTAGTCTGACCACTTAACATTGTTTCTTCCTCAGTTTTGATTGCCGTAGGAGCCTAGTCTCCTACCTTGACATTCTGCAGTTTTTCACTAGCAGCAAAGTGAACTTTTAAATCTTTTTTTTTTAAAGATTTTATTTATCTATTCATGAAAGATACACAGAGAGAGAGAGAGAGAGAGAGAGAGAGAGGCAGAGACACAGGTAGAGGGAGAAGCAGGCTCCATGCAGGGAGCCCAACATGGGACTCATACCCGGGTCTCCAGGATCACGCCCTGGAACTGAAAGCGGCGCTAAAACCGCCAAGCTTCCCAGGCTGCCCAAAAGTGAATTTTTAAAATACCAGATTATGCTACTTCTCTGTTCAAAACTCCTCAATTTCTTCTCTTCTTACTCAGATAAAATGGAATACTTTCATAGCTCACAAGATTCTACATAAAGATCTCATTTCCACCTTGCTCATTTCACTTTAGCCACATTGGTGCATCATGCTGTTCTAAAAGAAGCCAGATATATTCTCACCTCAGGACCCTTTACACTCCTTTCTTCTGCCTTTAATGTTCTTACCCAATATGTAAGTAGCTTCGAAACTCAATGAAGAGGAAATTCCCATATGTGTCTATGTATTGGGTATTATGTATGTAAATATCTGTGTATATTAATAGATAAATGTCTGAAAGAAGAAATATCAAAATGTTAACAGTGGTTGTCTGTAGACATTTTTATTTGTATTTCCTGAATTTTTGCAACGAGCAAGAATTATATGTGCAATCAGGAAAAAAGTACTCATTTTTATTAGAAAGACTAAAATGACTTCCCTTCCTCAGCTTTTCCTCTAGCCTCCTTCCTACATAATGTTCCATTTCTTCATCTGTGTGCTGAATACATAGGTGTGTCCACTTTGGAAGTTTATCATTTTACTCTAATGACCTGTGCATTTTTCTGTATATATTTATACTTGAATAAAAAGGACAAAAAGAAAAACATCAGTCTGCTAAAATAGAAAACAGTCCTGTTAGCATATTTATTATATAATTATTTAAATATTCTGGCTAATTTGCTCTAAGTTTTCAGATACACTATAAAATTTCCTATTTAATGTCTTAATCAAAATCTCATTGACTGTAAGACTATTAAAGAACTTCAACTGCTAAGTAGAACATAAATAGTATTATTAGACTAAATTTAATGATGTAGGACTTAATGATTTAAGGTTTCTTCAGAGAATGTATGTTAATAGGTTTAGTATGTTATAAATAATGTTTCTTTCCCAAACCAGGTATTCTAAGATGTAGAAGTATTTTATATTTCATCATATGTCATAAGGTATTTTACCATTTTCTTGAGTCTAAGGTAGGCAAGTTATTGACTAGAATTCATCAGATTTAATAATATTTTCTAAAAAAATAATATTTTCTAATATCTCTTATGTTTAAAAATTTTGAAGATTAATTTAACTATATCACACTGAAACTTAATTACATCTCTACTCTCAAATATGTGGGTATTTCTGTGTCTTACTTTATAACTACTCCAGTTTAAAAAAGACTTTTTCCATTCAAATAATTGATTTAGAAATGAGGAAAATATATGATTTTACTGTGAAAACAAATTTTTATCAGAACAGAGATCCCTTCAAAGAAGGCACTTTTGGGGCAGCCCGGGTGGCTCAGCGGTTTAGCACTACCTTCAGTCTAGGGTGTGATCCTGGAGACCCGGGATCGAGAACCATGTGGGGTTCCCTGCATGGAGCCTGCTTCTCCCTCTGCCTCTGTCTCTGCCTCTCTCTCTGTGTGTCTCATGAATAAATAAATAAAATCTTTTTAAAAAGGCACTTTCCTTTGTGTCCATATATTCTACTTAATTTTAGTTAACTAAACTATAAGTAATATTCAATTTAATATAAATTATCCTAAAATTGGTTATATTATGGTAAAAATATTTTCTATCTATAGCATCTCTGACTCATACTTTTTCTAAGTCCAACATATCATCAGAAAATATATTGAATTTATAATGTGTAAAAAGTTAAGATTGTTCTGTATAATATAAATTATACTGTAGGGTTATGTGATTGAACTCTTCTCTCTTGAGAGATCTTAGTTTCTTTTTTTTTTTTTTTTTGAGAGATCTTAGTTTCCCCAAGTAATTATCTGTCAGAGTTATAATTACCATTTTGTTCCTTAAAAGCACACCAGGTTGTCTTTATTGTTCTTTTTTTTTTTAATTTTTATTTATTTATGATAGTCACACAGAATGAGAGAGAGAGGCAGAGACACAGGCAGAGGGAGAAGCAGGCTCCATGCACCGGGAGCCCGACGTGGGATTCGATCCTGGGTCTCCAGGATCGCGCCCCGGGCCAAAGGCAGGCGCTAAACCGCTGCGCCACCCAGGGATCCCTATTGTTCTTTATATATGTCCTGCATAGTGGTTTATCTGTTCTTGCTATTATTTCATTATTTTAAATTTAGGATTTTTATGCTGGTGAGCACTTAGCTCTATGTGGTATATTTTAAAATATTTATTATATTTATATATCTTTCCTCCTTAAATCTAGATACAATTGAAAAGGAAATAAGAAAAATCTTCAATATTCCAGATGAAAAGGAGACCAGATTGTGGAACAAATACATGAGTAATACATTTGAACCACTGAATAAGCCAGACAGCACCATTCAGGATGCTGGTTTATACCAAGGACAGGTATTGTTTAGCAGTACTGTTTATTTTAAGCATACTATACATGAAGCTTTTTGGAGTCACAAACTTTGGGAATATCTTGACAATCTATAATGGGCTCTACTGTCTCTGGCTTCCTCTTTGTAACTCATCCCTGTTCCTGCTGATCACTACCAATAACTTTTGGGTTTCCTCCTTGAGCTTAGGAATAACCTACTTTTTAAAAAGAAAATTTCCATCAAAAACCCAGCTAATATAATAAGATGGGTCAGCGAACTTTTTGTAAAGAATCAAATAGTAAATATTTTTGGCTGTGTAGCCCTTATGATCTCTGTCGCAACTGCAAGTCTGCCATTATAATAACACAAAAGTAGTCATGGGCAATATGTAAACAACAAGCTTCATTTACAAAAGCAATCTGAGCTAAGTGAACTGTAGTTTACCAGCCCTTGATAAGGTATCAACCCCCAATTTGGTGTGTCTTTATAATACAATCCAAAGAAATGAATGTGTTAGGAAATGAAGACATTTAGACACAATCAGCAAGTTCTTGAATTAGTCTCTCTATTCCATTCTCAAACCTTTGTTTCAGTAGTGTCTTACCAGGTCCGCTGCATCTAGTCTTTTGCATGTCCATACTCTCAGCCTTCCATATTTCTGCTAGAACACTCTTTCGAAAATGTAAGCCTTGATGTTTCCTTACTATAAACTTTTCCTGGTTCCCTAACAGTTTATAGAATAAAGTTCAGGCACTTAACACAGCATGCAAATCAAGGTTTGACCTTTTAGGCTAGTTTTCCAGCATCTTTAGATTATCCTTGCCTCATGACCCATACTCAACAATACCAAACTGAACTGCTTATAGTTCCCTAAGCATACTGTGCTATTCCCAACTCCTGTGCTTTCCATTTGTGTTATTCCATCTGCCTGTTGAACCCTTCTTCCCAATGCCTGCATCCATCCAGTAAAAAGTCTTTTTAAACATCAAAATATTGAAATTAACCTTTCCATTCTATCATGTAGTCTAACCAGATCAGATTGTCATTCTTCAGACTCCAGCTCAAATGTCACATCATCTCTTCAGCCTTTCTTGATCTATTTTTCTCAATATCTGTTTGAGGTAAAGGAGTTTTTTACTTAGGAGAAAAAAATTACTCCCTTAACTTCACAATGATTTATGTATATGTCATTTGTGTCATTCATTTTGTATTTTATTTATATGTTGAGCTTCCCCTCTAGATTATGAGTTCCTTGCTTTAGTTGGACTTTGTGTCTGTTTATTTTTGTTTTTGTTTTGTTTTGTTTTAATTTTTATTTATTCATGAAAGACTTGGAGAGAGAGAGAGAGAGAGAGAGGCAGAGACACAGGCAGAGGGAGAAGCAGGCTCCATGCCAGGAGCCCGACGCGGAACTCGATCCCGGGACTCCAGGATCGCGCGCCCTGGGCCAAAGGCAGGCGCTAAACCGCTGAGCCACCCAGGGATCCCTGTTTATTTTTGTTTTTATTTTTAGTACCTAACACAGAGCCTGGTGCTCCAATATATGAAAATTTTTATTTTTCTTCTGTTTTATTTTCATCTGTCTGACAGGGGTGCCTGGTGACTGAGTCGGTTAAGCATCTGACTTCAGCTCAGGTCATTGTCTCAGGGTTGTGAGATTGAGCTCTGCAACAGGCTTTGCCCTCAGTGGGGAGCCTGCTGGAGATTCTCTCTCTCTCCTGCCTTTCCCTCTTCTTTCTCTCTCTCTCTCTTTTCTCTAAAACAAATCTTAAAAAGAAAAAAAAAAAAAGTCCAGGATAATGTTTACTTCACTTACCAGTCAGAAAATAACTGTTGCAAAATCTAGAAAATTTAAAGCATGCTACTTAAAACATTATTTCAAACGGTCAGATGTTCTTAAGGATATATAACCTTCCTATTAAATAATTTACTGTCCCCTGCAGTCATATAAATGCCTTCCTATCAAGAACATCAAATACTTAAATTATCTAAGCCTCAGTTTTCTAATATACATGATGGATAGAATAAAAGCCATTACATAGGCTCAGTCATTGAAAGTTTTAAAGAAATGATTCTTTGTATTCCAAATTGTACTCCTGAAACTATCTCAAGACCTACATGTGGTAACTAAGGAGTGAAAGAGGGAATTGGCTGGCTAAGGAGGGAGGGGAGTATTGACTAACCATGAGAGTTCCAAGTTCCTTACTCCAGCTTCAATCAGGTTAACTCTAATTTTGATTGTAATAGATAAAAGTTTTTTGTATGATTTCACTTAAGAGAGCACCTCGGTGGCTCAGTAGTTGAGCATCTGCCTTTGGCTTAGGTTGTGATCCCAGAGTCCTGGAATCGAGTCCTGGTTTGGGCTCCCTGCAGGGAGCCTGCTTCTCCCTCTGCCTATGTCTCTGCTTTTCTCTCTAAGAAAAATTTATTTATTTATTTATTTATTTATTTATTTATTTATTTATTTATTTATTTAAATATTTATTCTCTCATGAATAAATAGCCTTTAAAAAATGTCACTTAAGACTCTAATAGCTAAAATAAGTCTGAAAACCACTGTTTTTATAGCCTAATACAATACATATGTATATGTGACAATGCCTATGTAATGATAGGCATTTACTAAAAATTAATTTCCTCTGTTCTGGATTTTTTTAAACAACTTGTGTCATAACACTGATGTCAACAGTAATTGTTTTAAAGATTTTATTTATTTATTTATTTGGAGGGGGGAAGGCAGAGGGGAGGGGCAAGCAGACCTCCCCACTGAGGGGTTAGCCTGATGTGGGGCTTAATCAAGTCAGACACTTAAGCAGCTGAGCCACAAAGGTGCCCCTACTGTGGACATTTTGAAATTTTTACTGATATTGAAAGTAAAATGAAACATAAGAAAGTCGAACAAAGATACGTTATTGAAGAATTTCCCTCCAAAAATGGTGGTCTCTCTTTCTCTAAAGAGAGTGTGTGTGTGCACGCATGCACGCGCACATGCACACACATAATTAAATTTTGAAACCTTTCTAAAAATTACTTTTTGTTTTTCAAATTCTATTTAAATTCAATTAATTAACATATAATGTATTACTGGTTTCAGAGGTAGAGGTCAGTAATTCATCAGTCTTAAGTAACACCCAGTGCTCATATCCTATGCCCTCCTTAATGTTCATCACCCAGTTACCCTGTCCCCTTACCCCCCCCAAAATTTTCATCTTGAAAGTTTTAACCATGAGCAAAACTTTAGTTAGAAAATAATATATTTGAAAAAAAAAATAAATAATATATTTAAATAAAGGAGTGAATATTAACATTTTTGATGGCCTTCAACACTATCTGTGATTATAAAAACATAAAATCTTAACTATACATATTGTTAGGAATTAAAATGTTGCAGTTCAACCCGATATATTTATTTGATTCTTTAGTTTTAGGACCTTCCATTAAAAAGCAAATCATAAACAATATTACTAAATGCATAACTTTGAAATTTTTTGTAACTAATGTCTTTCATTTTATAACTGATTTGTCTTCCAAATGTCTATGAAGTTTATTATTCACATTTGTAAAGCTTTCAATGTACTTGGGGCATATTTTCTCTCTACATATATGTAGTTCATATGTAGATGTCATAAAAGTTGCTCTACTGGAAAACTCTTCAGAAGTTATAATCACTAAATTTAGTTTTATGAATTTCTAAGTATATGATCATATCAGAAAATTGAGGAGATTGATTAACTGTATATGATAGGAAGGGAGAAAAATACGATCAGGGAGGGATAGGATAGTAAGTACACAGTGTTCTTATTCTTTGTAACAGTAGGTACATAGTGTTCTTACTCTTTATATGCTACATATACTTCATACAAGTTTTTTGAATGAAGGAAATACTAATTTTTAAAAGATAACTTTAATATTTTAATTAACATACTCTTTCAACAACCTGGTTCCATGTATTTTTTTCTGGATGTTTTATCATTTGTTGTGTTCTGAAACAGGCTTACAGGGATCCCTGGGTGGCGCAGCGGTTTAGTGCCTGCCTTTGGCCCAGGGCACGATCCTGGAGACCCAGGATCGAATCCCACGTGGGCTCCCGGTGCATGGAGTTTGCTTCTCCCTCTGCCTGTGTCTCTGCCTCTCTCTCTCTCTCTCTCTCTCTCTCTCTCTCTCTCTCTCTCTCTCTGACTATCATAAATAAATAAAAATTAAAAAAAAAAAAAGAAACAGGCTTACATTTTACATGGTTAGGATTCAAATGCCAACTTATAAATGGCCTGAAGCATACAGTCCCTGAAAGTATTTTGCTCAAAGTATGTAGAGTAGGTTACAAAATTGAAACTTTAAGGAAAAGAATTGAAAGTGAGTATCTAGGATGTGTTCAATTTTATAGTGCCTTGAATTTACTTCTTATTGACATAAGTGCATATTTATTTTGCTAATTTTGTTATTTTTGCTTAGTTTCTTTTCTTTGCCCAAACTCACTCATAGCAAAAACTGGAAGGAATACTTTTTAATTTTTTTTAATTTTTTTATTTTTTTAAAGGTTTTTTTTTGAGATTTTATTTATTTATTTATTTATTTATTTATTTATTTATTAATTATTTATTATTTATTGAGAGAGGCAGAGACACAGGCAGAGGGAGAAGCAGGCTCCATGCAGGGAGCCCGATGTGGGACTCGATCCCGGGTCTCCAGGATCACACCCCAGGCTGCAGGCAGCGCCAAACCGCTGCGCCACCAGGGCTGCCCAAGAAATACTTTTTTTTTTTTTTTAAAGATTTATTTATTTATTCATTCAGAGAGAGAGAGAGAGCGAAGAGAGAGGCAGAGACACAGACAGAGGGAGAAGCAGGCTCCATGCAGGAAGCCTGATGTGGGACTCGATCCCGGGTCTTCAGGATCACCCCCCCCCCCGGGCTGCAGGCGGCACTAAACCGCTGTGCCACCGGGGCTGCCCCAAGAAATACTTTTTTAAACTAGAAGATAAGACGGAGAATTCTGGGATATTTTAGAATAAAGCATAGCTCTGCCTTGCCCAGTACTTTACCTTTATTAGAGTTGCTGTCTGCCTTAACCATGCTGCAATAAGGACTTGAGTCTGATTTTCACAAATGTGTCTCTGTATATTAAAAGATTGTTTAATTTACAGTGATAATGAAAATAAAGGCAAATTTTAAAGCCCCAAATAAATTATGTATAATCTGTAATTTGGAATTATCTGTGTCACTGTTTTCGGGATTTGCGTAATAATGGTTATCTAAGATAGTACATCACTATGTTTAACATCTGTAACCATTTGTTGAGCTCTAATTTTTTTTGCACGGTACTGTGTTACAACCTGTAAATAGAAAAGAAGTAGAAAACATACCCCTCTAAACTCCAGGAATTTATATTCCATTTATATTGCCCAGCTTTGAAATCAAGATGCAAATACCTCCTCAACTTGTTTGCGCTGCCCTTTAAATAATTCCAGATTTACTTTAGTTTCTTAGTATATCCATCTAATCCTTAAAAAGCTATTTTAACTTCAGAGTTAAGGAAAAACACTCTTCTGTTGTGTCATATTTACAGGTGTTAGTGATAGAACAGAAAAATGAAGATGGAACATGGCCAAGGGGTCCTTCTGCTCCTAAGTAAGTGCTCTCACTTTTTATGGCTGACTGCATGATTTTGAAGCCTTTGATTTCAGATAACAAAATCCAAAATGATAGAAGATACCTAAATATATGTTGTAAGTATATGCATCTACTTCATATTTTAATATTTTATTTTCAGGATAGAAGTTACCTAAACTTGCATTTAAATTAATATGCTATAAAAAATAATAATTAACATGCTATAATTAAAAAGGCTTCTAATTCAAATATTTTATTTTTTTCAAATCTCTTAGAATAAGGTGCAGTATACATGTTGTTAATATTATGTTGCATTATCTAATATGTCAAATATTAAACATTTTGTTTAATATTTCTCAAGCTTTTTGTGATTTTTTCAAAGTATCTATTAAAGAATTCTATCAAAATTCATTCTATCAAATGAATCTGACATGAAAGCATTTTTTAAATTTACTTAAATGTTTTAGAATATAAAAGCACAAGTAGAAATAGAAGAGCATAAGAATTGCTTTTGATGATAAATGAGGAATGAAAGAGTTAGAAATCTTTCTTTTTTTTCTAATATGGTAAGAAGCCTTAACTTGAGATCTACTCTCTCAACAAATTTTTAAGTGCACCGTATAGTTAACTGTTGGCACATTGTTATACAGTAGATCTCTAGAATCTATTCATCATATATAACTGAAAGTTTTTTATTGCACAGTAATTTCCCATTTCTCCCTTCCCCTAGCCCCTGGCAGCCATCATTATACTCTCTGTTTCTATGAGTATTTGACTAGTTCAGATATTTTATATAAATGGAATCGTGCAGTTTTTGTCTTTCTATGATTGGCTTGTTTTACCTAACATAAAATCCCCCCGGTTTATCAAGTCTGAATAATATTCTGTTGCATGTATACACATTTTCTTTGTCCATTCATCTATCAGTAGATATTTAGGTGGTCTCTCTATCTTGGCTGTTGTAAATTGTACTGCATTGAACATGGGTGTGTAGATATCTCTTTGAGATGATTTCATTTCTTTTGGATTTATACCCAGAAGTGAGATTTCTGAATCGTATGGTACTTCTATTTTTAATTTTTTGAGGAACCTTTATACTGTTTTCCATAGCGGCTGCATCATTATACATTTCTACCAAGTGTACAAGTGTTCCAGTTTCTGCACATCCTCGTGAGCACTTTTTATATTTTGTTCTTTTGATAATAGTCAGCTTTAACAGGTAGGAGGTGATATCTCATTGTGGTTTTGATTTGCATTTCCCCGATAATTACTGATGTTTGAGCATCTGTACCTGTGGACCATTTGTATGCCTCCTTTTTGAGAAATGTTTATTCAAGTCCTACGCCCACTTTTTAATCTGGTTATTTGGGGGTTTTTTGCCTTTGAATTGTAGGAATTCCTTATATATTTTGGATATCAATCCCTTATCAAATACATAGTTTAAAGATTTAAAAATAAGACCTGACTCTATAAAACTCCTAGAAGACATCTTAGTGGGAAAGCATCATGATATATGTCCAGGCAATGATTTCTTAAATATGACACCAAAGCACAGCCATGAAAGCAATAAGAGATGAGAGTACATCAAACCAGAAAGGTTTAATGCACAGTAAAGAAACAATAACAGAGTGAAAACAACATGCAGAATGGGAGAAAACATTTTTAATGGTTTTAGAATGATCATATCTACCCTCCATCAAAAACACTTAGTCCTGGTTGTACTTCAATGTCAGACTTTTTAAACCTTTGAGAAGTAATATGATGCATATGTCACCTATTATTTTAACATATCTATAGAGTCCAGAGGGGCTCTCTTAATATTAATATTCAGCAAATATTCACACTAGTAGGGTAAAGGACTATAGATAGTTTTATATCAGTTTAGTGTAGGTTGCCCTCAAGTGAATAATAAAATAATTTTTAAATTTTTAGGGCTTTTGGAATTTCAGATTTTTCTGGTAAGGGATTGTAAACCTGTATTTTGAAATCCTTAAAATAAAGATTCTTGAATAAATTAAAAATTATTCATTTAGGGCAGCCCCGGTGGTGCAGCGGTTTGGCGCCGCCTGCAGCCTGGGGTGTGATCCTGGAGACCCGGGATCGAGTCCCACATCGGGCTCCCTGCATGGAGCCTGCTTCTCCCTCTCCCTCTGCCTCTGTCTCTGCCTCTCTCTCTGTGTCTATGAATAAATAAATAAAATCTTAAAAAAAAATTATTCATTTATTGCTAACCTAACATAAAAGAAAATTGATCTTTAAAACTGAAACACATGGTCATGCTGAGCTGGCTTTGGACGCTCTGCACACCAGGTCTCCTCTTCCTGTGCTGGTTAGCTGTGGCGGCCATGAGGACCCTGAACCCCAAGGCCGAGGTGGCCCGAGCCCAGATGGCACTGGCGGTTAACATCAGTGCGGCCCAGGACATGCTGAGGACCAACTTGGGGCCTAAGGGCACAATGAAGATGCTTGTTTCTGATGCTAGAGACATCAACCTTACTAAAGATAGCAGTGTGCTGCTTCATGAAATGCAAATTCAATACCCAATAGCCTCCTTAATAGCCAAAGTGGCAACAGCCCAGGATGACATAACTGGTGATGGTACCACCTGATGTCTTAATCATTGGAAAGCTACTGAAACAGGCGGATTTCAAAATTTCTGAAGGTCTTCATCGCAGAATAAATAACAAAGATTTGAAGCTGCAAAGGAAAAGGCACTTCAGTTTTTGGAACAAGTCAAAGTAAGCAAAGAAATGGGCTTAAAAACACATATAAATGTGGCCAGAACATCTATACGTACTGAAGTGCATGCTGAACTTAACAGAGGCTATAGTGGACTCCATTTTGGGCATTAAAAAACAAGATGAACTTCTTGACCTTTTCATGTTGAGATCGTGGAAATGAAAAAGAAATCTGAAACTGGTACAAGCTTAATCAGAGGTCTTGTTTTGGACCATGGGGTGCTTATCCTGGTATGAAAAAGAGTAGAAGATGCATACATCCTCATGTGCAGTGTTTCAGAATATGAAAAAACAAGTGAATTATGGCTTTGCTTAAAAATAAGAGTGCGGAAAAAAACTTGTAAAAGCTGAAAGAAATTTCATTGAAGATAGAGTAAAAAAAAATAGAACTGAAAAAGTCTGTGTGATTCAGATAAAGGATTCATTCAAAAGGGAATTGACATTTTTTCCTTAAATGTTCTTGCATAGAGCTAAAGGAAAAATACGGGAAAGCTAACTCTTGCCTGTGGTGGAGTAGCGCTAAATTCTTCTGCTGACCTAAATCCTGATTGCTTTAGACATGCGGGACTTGTCTGTGAGTATACATTGGGAGAGGAGAAATTCACTTTTATCGAGAAATCTAACAATCCTCACTCCATCACATTGCTCAAAGGACCAAATAAGCACACATTCACTCAAAGATGCAATAAGGGATGGCATAAGGACTGTTAAAAATGCTGTTGATGAGGTTTAGCACCTGGCTTTGGCCCAAGGCGCAATCCTGGAGTCCCAGGATTGAGTCCCATGTCGGGCTCCTGGCATGGAGCCTGCTTCTCCCTCCTCCTGTGTCTCTGCCTCTCTCTCTCTCTCTCTCTCTCTCTATCATAAACAAATAAATAAATCTTAAAAAAAAAAGTGCTGTTGATGTGTTCCAGGTGCTAGAGCAGTGGAGGTGGAAATAACAGAAGCCTTGGTAAAAGCCCAGTGTAAAAGGCAGGGCCCAGCTTGGAGCTCAAATGTTTACTGATGCATTCCCAAGCTTCTTGTTCAGAACTCTGGTTTCGAGCTTCAGGAAACTTGGGCAGAACATTCAGAATCAGATCTGCTCGTGGGTGTGAACTTGAACACAGGTGAGCCCGTGGTAGCAGCTGCAGTAGGCATGTGGGATAACCAACCACTTTGTAAAGAAATAGCCTCTTCAGTGCTGCACTGTGGTTGCCACCATCATTCTCCTGGTGGATGAAATCATGAGAACTGGAACGTCTTCTCTAAAAGGTTGAATGGAAGCTTCTTTGTGTCGTCTGAATCATGAAGACTCAACAGAGTGGTCCTAAGAATAAAGCTATGGAATTTTTGTCCAAGCTTCAAATGATTTTCTTTTCCCATATGAAAAAAAGAGAGAACACAGACATTCAAATTCTGAAGTTTTGAAATTATAATTACAGTATGTTTTAAATTGCACTGCAGTGTTCACACATTAAGTAGGCCGTTTCCACCCAATGAACAGGATATTTTGCTTTAGTTTCGGTGATAAAGTATCAAGTTAGATAAGTATATGTTATCTACTGTGTTATTAAATGTTCCCTAAAAAACAAAAATAAGGGATCCCTGGGTGGTGCAGCAGTTTAGCGCCTGCCTTTGGCCCAGGGCGCGATCCTGGAGACCCGGGATCGAATCCCACATTGGGCTCCCGGTGCATGGAGCCTGCTTCTCCCTCTGCCTGTGTCTCTGCCTGCCTCTCTCTCTCTCTCTCTCTCTCTCTCCGTGACTATCATAAATAAATTAAAAAAATTTAAAAAACAAAAATAAAAAATGCACCTTTAATGAGTGCTTCTCTATCCTTTTATCTTAGGTGAAGTTTTTTCATTTAAATCTTTTATGAGGGCAGCTCTGTTGGCTCACCGGTTTAGTGCCACTTTCATCCCGAGGTGTGATCCTGGAGACCCGGGATCGAGTCCCACATCAGGCACCCTGCATGGAGCCTGCTTCTCCCTCTGCCTGTGTCTTTGCCTCTCTCTCTCTCTCTGGGACTCTCGTGAATAAATAAAATCTTAAAAAAAAAATAAATCTTTTGTGAGATTGTATATTAGTTACATTCTGTTATTCCTCCACTTAGGATACCAGGGTGGAGCAGTGTAAGAAGGCATTGGAAGTACATGGTAGTTATGTAAACTTCTTGATAGAGGAAGTTTTAGAAGTTGGGAATGTTTTCTTTGTGAATATTTACTTTCAGCCTTTAGTTCAGAACAGCTATTGCTTTTCTCTAGCTTATCTTTAGATTGTTATATTCTTGTTATAGCT